CAGATAGTAAGCCATGATCGATTTTAACACTTCCCGGCCTATTTGGGTTGGTGTCAAACCATCGACACTTAAACATGATCACTTGGTATCGATCTTTGTAAAGCAATTGCACGACAGTTGTGAGTTTGCCATAGAAATCAATGTCCGTACTTTCGCCTCCACCTGGGACATGGACACCGCTGTTTTGCGTACACAACTTGTCATCTCGTGCTTCGGCCAAAAATTTGACACCGTTGACATTACAACCCGAGAACAATTCAGCGCGAATCGGGCCAAACGCCAAGTTATATAACTCATCACTGTAAGTTGGGGAATTCGATGATTTCAACTTATTCACCTAATATTATACAAAACCATTCATATGTTAGTCGGACAAAATTTATTAAAAAAATTTATATTTCTCAAATAACAAACACTGATAACTTACAGAATCCAAAAACCATTGTGGAAACAATTCACGGTGTTTCTGGGCAACCAAATGTGATGGATGTTCTCGCTTCATCATCTCTTCATGCTCATATAAGTATCCCATGATCTCATCACAATTGTTCAGTACGAACCAATGCGCTACCTCCATGTCATTTCTAGAAAACGACTCTCCGCGTCCAGGATCTCCGAAGGGTCGTGCGCTTTGGGCAAAAACAGAAAGTTTTTCATTTCTCATACCTCCATCATGATTGCGCTGAGGACGATTGAAAACCGTCTCCACATCTTTTAAATACATTCCGCAGAAAGTAAGCGACTCATATTGAACCCAAGCCTCTACGATTGATCCTTCGGGCTTCGCCCTGTTGCGTACACTTTTTTTCAGCTCTCCGAGAAGCCTGCCAAAATAAAACGATATGATTGAAATTAGCAAGCATGTGATAATGATGCATACACAAATGATAAGGATTATATACCTTTCTATTGGATACATCCAGCGATAGTTGACAGGACCAGCAAGTAATGCCTCTTCTGGCAAGTGAACCATCACGTGCATCATACTTGTGAAGAAAGCTGGAGGAAATATCATCTCAAACTTGCATAGGACTTGGACAATGTCATGGCGCAACTGAAACATGTCCGTTTTTCGCAAAGTTTTCGCCGTCAGTTGGGAAAAAAATCTGGACAACAAAATGATTGGCTTCACTACATCTTCCGGCAATAGGTGTCGAATACCAACAGGAAGTAGGCGTTGCATAAACACATGACAGTCATGGCTTTTAAGTCCAGTAAATTTACCCCCGTCAACATTCACACAACGTGCGATATTAGAAGCATACCCATCGGGAAACTTTACTGACGATACAAACTTTAGAAACTCTTTCTTGTCATTCGGTTTCATAGAAAAGAATGCAAGATCCCTTCTAGCTTTATCATTGTCCCTATTCATCCATAAACCCCTTCGTATGCCCATTCTTTCCAAATCAAGACGAGCTTTGATCGTGTCCTTTGTCTTCCCCTCGATATCTAGAATCGTGCCCACCAATGTGTCGAATACATTTTTCTCAACATGCATCACATCTAGATTGTGCCTCAATTTTAGTTTCGACCAATATGGGAGCTCAAAAAACATAGGTTTGTGCGTCCAGTTCATATGTGTAGAAGGTCTGATACGACTAACTGTTTTCCCGAAGGGAGCAAAATCCAACCGGTTCAGCTGGTCCAATATCTCATCACCGGACCATTCTCTGGGTCTAAGGCGACGCTCAGTGTTCCCGTCGAACTCTTTATCTTTTTCCCTCCACTCATGGTCCCATGGCAACCATCTCCGATGACCAAGGTAACAAACTTTTCCAGCATGCCAACCAGAAGTTACATCTTCCTTGCATACAGGACATGCCATATAACCTTTTGTGCTCCACCCAGAAACCATTGCATATGCTGGGAAATCATTCACAGTCCACATAACTGCTGCCCGCAAAGTGAACATCTTCCCAGTTGATTTATCGTACGTGCGAACACCGTTTGTCCACAAATCCTTTAGCTCATCAACCAGCGGCCTTAAGTAAACATCGATTGACCTCCCAGGATCCTCAGTTATCAAAACAGTCATCATCATGTATTCTTTTTTCATGCATTTCCAAGGCGGCAAATTATATGGGAATACGAAAATCGGCCAAGTGCTGTGGTGTTGGTTTAGAACCCCATACGGATTGAATCCGTCAGTGGCAAGTCCCAATCTAACATTTCGGGGATCAGCAGCAAACTCTGGGAACGTTCGATCGAACTCTTTCCATGCCTCCCCATCTGCAGGATGCCGCATCACATCATCGTCTACCCGTTTTTCCTGATGCCATCTCATGTCTGTGGCAGTATGCGTCGACATATACAATCGCTGCAACCTAGGTTTCAGGGGCAAATAACGCATGACTTTTTGTGGGATCTTAGTCGTCCTATTCTGAGATGTCATCTTGAACCTCGACTCATTGCATATAGGACATGTATCCAACGATTCATGCTCTTTGTAGAATAACATGCAATTGTTTTTGCAAGCATGGATTTTTTCATAACCCAATCCAAGACCATTCAACACCTTCTGCGCCTGTTTATGGTCTTTCGGCAAACAATTGTCCGTCGGAAGCATTCTCTTGAAAACCCCCAAAAAGTAATCGAAACACAGGTTCGACATACGATACTTTATTTTTCCGTGCATTAGCTCCACAATGGCCGTGAGAACGGAAAAGCTCTCGCACCCCGGGTATAACTCTTGGTTGGCATTTTTTAACAATTTCTCATATTGTTCAAACTCCGCACTGTCTATTGGTGTAGGCACATCATCTTGCTCTTCTTGATTCATGTTGGTCGATGCAAATGGAAAAACATCCTGTATAATATCCATGACTTCATCATTAGCATCCACAATAGGTTGAACATTGTCCACTCTTGTGGCATTTGAAGACGAAGCATGCTCTAATTGTTCCCCGTGAAGGTTCCAAATGCTATATGTCTCAATCATTCCATTTCTTACTAAATGAAATCCAACATTTTCAATTGTCTCCCATAACGTGTTGTTGCACCTCCTACAAGGACAACGGATTCTAGTTGCACCCGGGTTGTGTCTACGTGCAAACTCAATAAAATCCTCGATTCCATCCAAGTATTCGTCTGCGCATCTGTTAGGGTTTTGTATCCACCTTCTGTCCATAATTCCTGAAACCAGAATCACAACACAACAATCACAACAACTTCATACGAAGTTATAATGTCACCTTATGCCTCCGGTAAGGGTCCTATCCCATTCGGGAATGCATACTCCTGCCACGTAACCTACGACTACATGAGATTAGATTTCGACGTGGATGAATTTCGCCAGCATCTCGCTACAGTTCTTGAGGTGGCCATAGGTAAAATACCTATGTACCACCCGAAGAACGTACCGAGATGACAACGAAATATCCACAATCGAAACCTAATCCTGTAGCCATAGATTACGTGACAACACTATGCATTACCAAACTGTCCAAATAATGGGACAATTCAAGAATTAATTGGACCGCAGTCATGCATTACGCATCCATGCACGAAATCCAACTAATCTCGAACGGGAAACTAAGTGTTACTAAACATAAAAATAAAAGCACGAAGTTAATTTCAATTAACTTCGTACATCACAACAGATTGTACTACGTTACGCACAACATAATATAAATATAACTTCACAAGAACATTTTAAACATATATAAAACAAATAAAATACCTTCTCAATCGTTCTCCACCAATCGCTAATTACAAATATCCCTAACGAAAACAAATTAAAAAACCTTAGTACGAACTTAAATTAATACTTTTAAACTAATGACGAAAAATACTTACCCAATCAATGTATTGAAATCCTAGCAGCAGCAGAGAGGTTGAGAGAGAGGCAGAGGCAGAATGCTTTGTTTTTGCATTCTGCCTCTGCAATGGCAGAATTCTAATATGAAGAAGAAGGACTTTGCGCGACGAACAAACTTATTCGTCGCGCAAAGTCCCGTCGCAAAAAACCAAATTATTCGTCGCGCAAACCCTTTTTTTCGTCGCGCAAACACCTGCCGACATCTAACTTTTGCGCGACGTTGGTAATTTTCGTCGCGCAAAACTTCGTCGCGCAACATTGTCGCGCAAAAACATAATTCCGTCGCGCAAAACAGGGTATTCGTCGCGTAAACGTTGAACTTTACGCGACGAAACGTCAGTACGTCGCGCAAAAAAAAATATCCCACCCAGGTCATTTTTGGCGCCAAAAAATAAAATATCTCTTGTTCTCTTACGCGACGAAACGTCTTTCCGTCGCGCTAAATCAGGGACTGTCCTATTTGCGCGACGGATAATTTGTTCGTCGCGCAATGTTGCCTTCAGCGACGATATTTCTCGTCGCGCAAATGTTTCGCGCTAAAAAAATTCCCCGCTCTTTTTTTAACTCAGTTTGCGCGACGAATAATGTTTTTTGTCGCGCATATACATTTTGCGCGACGAAATAGTTTGGTGGCGCAAATTTTCAGTGCATTGCGCGACGAAAATGTTTTTTCGTCGCGCAATTATTGTTTGCGCGACGAGTTGATCTTCGTCGCGCAATGTTTCGTCGCGCAAATAGTGAAACGTAGTAGTGTATGAACCCTAAAATGATATATCATAGTTCAAAAACATTTGAGAACAATGGTTATATGAGTTTTCTTTAAGCGTTCCAACGCTCTTTGAATGCCCATCATGTTATCAATGACATCTGGTTATTATTGACAAGGAACATACGATAATTACGCGGTATAATAATAGTTAAGTAAAATTTTAGAAATGTCACATGAACTCATACGTTATTTTTCATTTTTTACATTAAAGACAAACTTAAGAGATGTCATCTCGATTTTTAAAAATCCATGATTTGGCTCCGTATGTTAACTCTGTTACAGAATCTATTAAGGAAAATCATGTGTTGTACACATGTCTCACTTAAATTATTAAAGAAAAAACAAAATCTTTCCCACTTGCCTACATTGCATGCATGTCAACAAACAGACAGAGTTAGCTTAACCACTTACCTCAGTGTGGTTGCCAAAATAAGCAGCGTAGTCGTTACCCGCAACTGATACGAGAGCAATGGACGAGTTAACGACGTCGTTTTTGGTACTATAGAGTTTTTGTTCAAGCAGCTGTTGGAAAAAGTCGATTTGGGTGGTCAAGTTTGGTCCACCAAACACTGTATCAAAAACACCTGTCCCTCCATATGCAAAGTTCATCCCAGACTCTAGTTTTGATTTCTTCACAAATTTTCTCAATGCGTAAGGCACTGGAGAGTTTATGCCCAAAAAGGAAGCTGCAATACATTGCAGCATCTCAGAGAGGCATTTCATAAAACAAAATTAAAATAAAATAAAATATTGGTTTTTTTCTTGTTTTCTTTTTGTTTTTAGAATTTGGTTAAACAAATAATAATGCAATTACAAATTAAAATATAGACCAAGTCATGCACTCACAATCCCAATCTAGTAGTACAATTTGAGGTGTATTTTCGAGGGTGTAAGCCACTTTAATATTCTCTTTACAACTCCGAAGGGTGTACATATAGTTTTTGCTCTAATGGTGAATACGTAAATCCAAAGATATATATTTGATTTTCTTGTCTAAATTCATTTTTGTGTTTAGACAAATAAACCCAATCCTAGACATGTATTTATAGAAAAACCCAAGCACTATTTAAACATAGAAACACACCCAAAATCAACCACAAAGTCAACTTTTTTGGTGTGTTTATAAATGGATTTTGAGTGTGTGTAATGATGGGTTTTGGGTGTGTTTATATGTTTAAATAGTGCTTGGGTTTTTTTTTATAATTTAAGCCCCCATTTTGGGTGTTTTAGTGAAACTCCCTTTTTTTTTGTTAACTGTATAAAATTTATTTTATGCATGTTAGTTTAATTTATTTTTTCTAAATAAATAGAATTAAATTTTTTATATAATATATATTTGAATTGTCCATGTTTAAATAATATATGAAGAGTAATTTCTTGTCAAATATTTCACATGTAAACATACTAGAAAACGTAAAATTCAACTATAGAGGCAAACATACACTCATAATCTAACATATATTTTGGACTGAGGAAAACTCTCTTAATAGAGAGAGAAAATGAACCTATATAATCAGTGAGCACGAAACCATCTGAAAATCGACCAGTTGGCTTTCCTAGAAAATTGATGCCATAAGGTTCCTTTCATAAAGCAGACACAGATTTTCCAATATTTCTAATATCAACATATGAATCCCGGAAAATGAAAAGCTTCATAGAACCATGACGATTATGACGATGGTGGTGATGATGTGCTTCAAGAACTTCTGCCATTATATATCAAAGGCAATAAGGGACAAAGAGTAAATATGACAATATAAATACATTTTTCTTTGTCTAAATAATAATTTGTGGTAAAATTAATATATGATTATCAAGAACATGTATATTTGTTTTTGTACCACTAACCTGTAAACGTGGCGATGTATGAAAGGAAGAAACAAGAAGAGGCTATGGCTGTTTGCTTCTCCATTTAAAAGCAGAGATTTCGGATGTGTTGAAAAATAAAGAACTATATGATATGAAGTGATATTGTGGGTGGAAGAAACTGGCAGTCTTATATAGACTCTTTAGATTTCTTTTATATATATATATGAGTATTATACAAAGCAATCGGTTAGGTTTTATAGCTTAGAAAAGGGGCTCGCGAAAATGTGTAGGTTATTATCATGACTAAAATTAAATTAAATGCGGGCAAATACATAGATTCTAAATGCAAAGGCTGTGAATCCCCATAATATAATTCACCCCCTTTTAACTTTGGTGACATTATTAATACTATTTCCATTTGAGGAATTTTCCATTCTATAAACGTTTCTGAAATTCAACAATTTTGTTGCAACACTTGGAAAGTTGTGTATCTTTTCTAAATTTGGTGACCTTATTGGTACTATTTTCTCTGTAATAAAAAATAATAATTATAGTATCCATAAATAAACTTACTTCAAAGCCAAACAAATTATTTTGATTTAAAGTCTTCATAGCTTGAGCAGATGAAATGAGTTAAATGTCACCCCATTTAGAGTTTGAATCATGAATGATCCCTGAATTTTTCAAAAGTCTTCATTTGAGTCCTCAAACTTTTAAAACAATGAATGTGGTCCTTAAATAGTCATCTACCCAGTTTGACTCTCGATGCTATTGGCCTGCATTCTGTGAGGGCCTGCCTGGAGCCTTACATCGTTATCCTGGCTCAAATGGGAGGAGAAATGAGATCACTATGCAGCTTGTGGCGGCCACTTGGGCCATATTTTAGAAGGGAAAATGCACAAGGAGCCAACAGCTGAACGCCACTGTGCTGCATTTTTAGGACTGGAGATCTCACTTTAGAAAAATGGCAGAAAAATAGCGGATCTTAGGATGGTTTAAGAGCACTTGGGTACACTTCCTTGGTAGCCGGTTGTTAGAGGAAAGTTCTACCCATAGGCTCTTGACATTGCAGCAGAAAATTTATATGAACTCAATGTCAATATTTAGGATGCTGGTCACATAATTCAATTCTTAGTGACAAATCTCTCTATAACCTTCTCTCTCTTTCATCTGGTTGCTGGTCTGCTCTGACCCCTGCTGTATCTTGGAGGGCTAGTCTTGCCAACATCAACAACTATCATCCAGCCATTAATGATCTGCAAGAATCATCAACAAAAAATAGGCTAAGCTTTCCTCTTCAGAGTGTTGGATCTGTTTTATAAACATGTAAAACATGTAAACCAAAGACAAGAAAGACTACGCCTACATGTTGATTTATTCGAATCAGTTTATAAAAATGAAAAGCATGTTGAAACTTGCCTTGCCATTCATCTCTCTAAGTGCTGCGCTAGCAGCTTTCTCCGTGGTGGATTCTATGAATGCATAACCTTTGGACCTTTTAGAAATTTTGTCCATTATTATTTTAACTGTCGAGGAAAACATTTAATTAGAATGAGCATATACTGCCATCAAATTGAAACCCCATTTTATGCTTTAAAAAAAAGTGTAGTACCTTCAACAAGCTCACCAAAGCCTTCAAATGCTGGAGTCGTGTTGTTTTTGTCCATGCACAGTGCATCTTGTGTGAGCTTTGAGAAAAGATAACCATAAACAAAGTACTTCTGAAAATAACAACAGGGATAAAAAGCAGAGCCAAAGTAAGAAAAGGGGTTTAACTGAACTACTCCAATTATCTATAATCAATACCTAAATCCAAACCTATAACCCATACCAACAGCAGCAATACTGAACTCAAAAACCAAAGATTCCTTTAATTCTTCTAAAGAAACATACATATACATGGTAACAGCCATTCTCTGTGGCTATTTCAGCCACTCCTTTCTCCAATCTGCCAAACTACAGTGTATTAGAATTGCTTTGAGTATTTTAATTAACCCTTTTCTTGATGATCTGATAATTGCTTCTAGTTTGAGCTTTACTAATGAGATGGTCCACCAAAGAGCCATTTGAGATGTTCTAAAGAACAATAAATACAGTGCTAGCTGCAGTTAGATGGTCCTGATAATAATGACAGTACAGTGTCCAAGAAGGCTGACCAAATGCCTATGCCTCAGCTTTGACAAGGCTTCCAAGCTCTAGTTCAAGTTTTGGGGCAACTGCTTCTACTTTAATTTCATACATTTCACTTGTACCGGTAAACCATCTCTGAGACAGCCTTTGTAGAACTGTAATGTAAATATTGCACATAAATAATGCTATCAAGTTGATGAACAATAATGTTGGCTCCATCAAATAATGCATTCAAAGCCAACAAACAGCACAAATTCAATGTTAATACCAGTCCCTGAGATTCTTCTACCATCAAATTCTTGGCATCGAAATTGTTTGTTGCATCATCTGGGGCACACGCCCTGAAAAATCCAAATCAATATAATCAGCTTCAATGCTTCACGAACTAAAAACCATAAAGCAGTCTTTTTTTTTTTTTTTTTTTTTGTCATTAAAAAAATCTATCAATGAGAGAATTTTCAAAGGAAAAAAGGAAGGGCCTTACTTGCATCGATGTTCGGCTTTGGGGAGCTTTGTGCGGAAATTTTCTCAACCATGGATCTGTCAAATTTATCTTCTCTGTTCCTCTGCCCTGTGATGAGTCGATTTTATATTATATATTTAACCCTATTCTTAGTATATTTTGGTTAATATTTTGGAAGAATTTTGATACTTTGAATTATATTTCCAATATAGGGTTTTCGACTTCCTCCGGAGCAAAACATAATCAAATGGACGAATTTTGGAGTAATTCCAGTTCGAGGACGTTCGTGAGTCACTTAGCTTGATCGTGTCAGAATTTCAGACTTTTCCACCAAGCGATGATTTCCTGGCGAATAAATAAAGGAGCAGTGCACCGTGCTAGAACAGTGATGTTTTGGGCTTTTATTGCGTCTTTGGAGCCCAAGATGACCTCGGATGGGTTCGTGGCCTTCTGGAGAAGTGTTCGAAATATTTTTATCTTTAAAACGAGCTATCTTGGGCCAGATTTGGAGGAGATTTGAGACCAAAACGTGGCTGGGCAGATTTGGGCAGATTCTCCTAATCCAATTTGGACTTTATTTCCTAGTCTTATTTTATTTTAACTTAGTTTCCTTGTGGGGATTGGGTAGCTAGGTTTTAGGAGGTATTTAAGCTTCTTTTCACAGCAATTTAGAGGATCTCCTTTTAGAACTTCTTTTCGGCTTTGGGAGCAATTGCTAGGGTTTTGGATTTTCGCTACTTTCAGGTGTTTTCATTCTTATTCATTCGAATGATATTTTATTGGATTTCAATTATGATTATGTGTAACTAATTCCATTTGCTAGGGCGAGGCCGTAAGCCTTAGCATGAATATGTAGTTTTATTAATTTGCTTATGAATGGATGCATGTTTGCTTTGAATTATTAATCACTGTGTTTAAAACTATCTATATATTTTAATGACTGATCACCATTAGGATATGTAGACAAGTAATTTGATGCAATTTCTGTTGGAACATCACCCTGAAATTGAGGAGGGCTTCTTGTGATTAGTAATTGTAAGTTCACTTAAGGCGAACATCACGCTCTTAAGGGTTGCATGGTTTTTCAAAGGGTTTTCACAAAGCTTAATGAGTCTTGCATGTTTATATTTGATCTGAACATCACAGACGGATTGCAAGTTAGATATAGGTTTTCGCTTGAACATCACAAGGAAAATATGCATTAGGAAAACCTAACCTTCAAAGCATATATGTGGAAATTCATAAGTAATCGATAGAATTGCATAGGATTGCGATGGTGTTGGCTAAACCCTAGTTTTCTCTAAATTGTTAGTCTTTAAAAAGAAATCGTTTTTCTTCTTTGCTGTTATTATTTCCCAACTTTCAGATTTCTTTTACTGTTAGTTTAATCTTTTCAAATTCATAAACTTCAAATCTTTGATAAAATCTATTTTAGTTATTAATTAAGAGTTAGTTTAATTACAGATTAGTCAAACAATCTTTGGGGACAACGACCTTGCATGAGCATTTATACTACAATTACCTTGTATTCTTGCAAGTATTTTCAGTGATTTTAACCATGTTTGCGCAGGTACTAAAAATCCTATCACCCTGCCCTGCCTTTTTTATAATGACCAAAACCAGCAACCCAATGACTGTAGCCGCACATACAACACGAAGAGAGTACATAGAGAGAGAGAGAGAGAGAGAGAGAGAGAGAGAGTTTGGCTACCCATGACAATCTCGGAGAGTCTGAGAGCCATGGGAAGTGAAGGATTCAAAATATCCTCGCTGCAAACAAAAAATCATGAAAATCTGCATCGGATTTTTAGACAACAAATCAGAAGAAGCCTAAGCTAACTCCTAGAAAAGTAGCTCGATACCTTTCTCGCCCATGAGGAAGAAGATCTAATCTGAAGCTTATGAAACGGAAGATGGGAATCCAGATGGGGGCTTAAAAATGGTCGCGATGAAGAAGGGTAGCTTCCATGAGCAGCACGAGGGCGATGGCGAACGCGGCAAGCTCGGTGACCTAAATGGTGCGACAGAGATGGTGATCAAGGCAAGTTCGGTGGACGGCTGCGAGGGAGATTTGCTTCATAGATGTGAGAAAGGGTTTTCTGAAAGGTCGTGATATAGTACGATGTTTGAGAGAGCGTGGGTTTTCTGAAAAGCTTTGCGCTCGCGAACTTAAAAGTTCAATGTTTTTTAGCGCCTCCTAAAAACACACGGTCCTAAGAGCATCTTTAACCGATGTGTCAAACGTACCACATAGATATTTAACAGCTAGAAATAACATCTCACATCACTCCAACCGATATGTCAAAGCTGATATGGAATGAAGGTTAGAGGTTAAGATGTTATTTTTGACATCTCAAAAGCAAGATGTCAAATGAATATTTTATTTTTTTTAAAAGACAACTGACTATTACTTTTATTTATTTTTTTCCGTTTTTATTTTTTTTTCTTTATCTTAAATAATTTGACTGTTATAATAATTATATATTTGACATATCAGGTGGAGTGTAAAAGTATGTAAATGTCAAATTGCCACATCAGCCATCAAATTTAAATTTGATATTTGATATTTCACATCTCCCTTGGAGATGCTCTAATAAGCTATCATCGTAATTTTAAAAATTAACCCAACGCATCAATGTATTAGGCACCCTACTACGACGGTATTATAACACTCGTCGTTTGTTAAAACATCACGACAGTTTTTATATAAACGGTCCTTTATTAGATGTCGTAGTTTAACATAATTGTAGTAGTGAGTACAATCCATTGCATCCGCATATAGACAGATACACTTTTTTATTAAACAAATATAAAGAAAGTTTATATCAATTTACACTTTTTTCAACTTATACAAACTGTAACATAAATGAACATAAATTGTTTGGGCAAAAATGAGTCATTTCATGTATTGACAGTAGTTTTTGGTTTCTTATGTAGTTACTTTAATAGAAACTTCAAAACCAGAATCAACAGAAATTTGAATCTTCCAACTTTGGGAAAAAAAATAGACAAATTGAAATAAAGGTAGGATAAAGATGTCTTATTTAGTTACTTTATGGTCAACATGCAAGACAAAAAAGGCAAAAGACGACGGGAATTCACCATCGTGTATTCAGTTTTCAAACCGTCGTGAAATCGACCAACATCTATCTAAGTATCAAACTATGACGGCTTTTCACCGTCGTTGTTTATCTGTAACGACGACGGTTTTTAAAGAAAATCGTCGTTGTATAGAGGTAAAGATCGTTAATTATAGGAGGAAAGACGACTGTTTTTAATAAAATCGTCGTGTATTGTATGTAAAGAGGACGATTTTTTATGAAAACCGTCGTGGATTGTTAATAAAGACGACGGTTGTTTTATAAAAACCGTCATCTTTACATACAATAGACTGCCTTTTAAAAAAAGGTCATCTTTACTTCACAATAGATGACCCTTTTAATAAAAAAGGGGTCATCTTTATATATAATAGATGACTCTTTTTAAAAAACCGTCATTTTTACATATAATAGACGACTCTTTTTATAAAAATCGTCATCTTTACATACAATAGAAGACCCTTTTAAAAATGGTCATCTTTACTTCACAATAGACGACCATTTTTAAAAAAAACCGCCATCTTTACATATAATAGATAACCCTTTTTAAAAAAAACGTCATCTTTACATATAATAGACGACATTTTTTTTATAAAAATTGTCATCTTTACCTATAATAGACGACCATTTTTTATAAAAACCGTCGTTAAGTATCTGTAAAGACCATGATTTATTATAAAAACCGTCGTCTAATAAGTTTCCAAACTGCTACATTTTAGTTCTTTTTGATTTCCTATGATGCTATACAATGATTTTATCTAGAAAACCAACCATAATGCTTTATTAATGAATATATAATAGTTTCTTTCATAAAACTTGGAGATTTAATAGTTATTACATAGTTAACCAATCTTTATTCTACAACAAACAAAATTCCTAAAGTAAACATCGTTTCTCTCTCCTGAATTTTCGGTGAGAGTCTACTCCCTGCCTAGGGTTAGGGTTTTTCTCCTAGTTTTCTTCTAGGTTTCTTGGCGGCTACTTGTCTGCCTATTAGGGGTTTTCGAAACTGGTTATCTCTGTTGGATAACATGGATTTTATGGCTAAGAAGGAAGATGTGGAGGAAGTGGTGTGTTCTTTTGATAAGGTGTTGTCGTTAACTAACAAAGAACAAGACGGCCTTCACATTGAATCAGATGATACGACAACGATGAACGAGCGGCTCCATCTCTGTTTGGTAGGGACGGTACTCACTGATCAAGGTTTCAACGGTGAGGCTTTCAAACAAACCATGTTGAGGGCCTGGGGTACGATGCGAGAGGTGGGTGTGAAGGACCTACGAGATAATCTTTTCTTATTCACGTTCACAACTATGCGGGACAAGGAGATGGTGATACGAAGGGGACCTTGGAATTTTGATAAACAATTGGTCTTACTAGAAACACCATATGGTAATAGAGCACCGAACAGAATGGTTCTTCAGAATGCTGATTTTTGGGTTCAAGCACACAATCTGCCGTTAAATAGAATGACTGTTACGACAGGGCGCCAGATTGGAAATAGGTTGGGCCAATGCATTGATGTGATGGAAGGAGCATATGGTGAATGTTTGGGTAAGTATTTGCACATTAGGGTTCGGTTGGATGTAACCAAACCTCTTCGTAGAGTGATGAAGCTGCAATTTGACCACTCTTTAAAGGCAGTGATTGAGTTCAAATATGAACGACTACCTGATTTTTGTTATGCTTGTGGGAGGATTGGCCATGTAGTCAAGGAGTGCAAATTTGTGGGTGCCATGGAGAAGGAAGCAAAAGAAAAGCCTTATGGTTCTTGGTTACATTCGAAGTTTGAGGTGGGGAGGGGGAGAACTATCAATCCAGGGAAGCAAGAGGAAGGGAGGAATAGTCAACGATCTTTTGGGAATACAGAAGGAGATTGTTCAGGAGTATGTGGAGATAAGGGGCCTAGAGGTGGGCCACATGGGCATTATTTTAAACATAAGGAACATGGTACTGGTGGTTCACTTACAATTGAGGATGATTTAGTTGACAATGCATCTTTGGCAAATAGATTCAAGTCCAAAAGGGGGGGTGGTGAAGGGAGGAATAAATTCACAATCAGTGAAGGGGAATTCATTGGCTGACAAATTGGCTGAGGCTGCTCGCCGACGGAAGGCAGAAGAAGACGAAATTCAACGAGCTTTGGGCGAGGCAGCTTGGGAGACAGCACAAGCAGTAGCTGCTGATTAGTCATCTACCATGCCTAAAATTCTAAGTGATCAGGAAAATAGAAGGGGAGATGATATGAAAAGCAAGGGAAATGGAGCTGTGCTGATAAATCAGATAGACACTCAACAAGGTGATGTTGGGTCTCTTTCGAGAGACAATGTTAAGACAGTAGCAGATTGTTTTCATAAGATATTGGGCACATTAAAAATAATGAGGATGCTATGGTACAAGGAGGAGCACAAGCTGATGCAGAGAATGAATTGAAAAGTGAACCTGAGAAAGTGGAATCAATAGATATGGCGAATAAAGTTGAACAATATGCACTTATGCAAATTGACAATGTCAGCGGTTCTTAATCAAGAGGAGGAATTGGTTAAAGCAGGTGGAGGGAGATGGAAGCGCAAAGCATGACTGGTGAAACCGATTGGAGAAATTACGGGTAGTGGGCTGGATAACAATGTGGGAAAGGAGGGAGGGAAAAGAAAATGTGAGGAAAAGACTGTTACAAATACATTTGTAACCAAAAAAGTGAAGATAGAGAAAGAGGTTAAACTTGTTGAGATAGAACACGTGGTGGGCCCAGTGGGACTGGCCCACCACGAACAATGAGAATTTTAAGTTGGAATGTCCAGGGTTTCGGGACCCCTGGGATGTTCCATTCTCTCAAGCGTATTTTGAGGGAGAAAAAACCCTAGCTGGTGTTCCTTATGGAAATGCGGATGACGAAAGCTCAAATGGAGAAAAGAAGATTTCAATGTGGTATGACAGGGGGAATTTATGTGGGAAGAGTAGGATTAGGGGGAGGCTTATTGTTGATGTGGACAACTGGTTGGGAGGTGAATTTATTATCATACTCGACATGTCATATACATGTATCAGTTAAAACCTCAGATAATTATTGTTTCTGTTTGACGGGCTTTTATGGGAATCCAGAAACCCAAAATCGAAGATTTTCTTGGGAATTACTTCGACGTCTCTCACAGTCAGTCTTTGGACCTTGGCTAGTCATTGGAGATTTAATGAAATCTTGATGGCTTCAGAGAAAAAAGGATTGCGAGATCGCCCTACATATCAAATGAACTCTTTTCGCCAAGCCTTGGTCGATTGCGACTTGCATAGTGTCCCATACCAAGGATATCCTTTCACTTGGGCTAGAACATACCCGAGTGGGGATATGGTGGAGGAAAGGTTGGACAGGTGTGTGGTTAATGGGAGAATTAGTGCGGATTATGGTCATATTTTGACATATCATTTAGTAGCATCGGGGTCAGATCACTATCTGATACTTGGTGAATTATTGACTGAAGCCCCCATCGTGGAGGCAAAGAAAAAAGAAGATTTCATTTTGAACAAATGTGGACACTTGAGAAAGGTTGTGAAGATATTATTCGAGAGGCTAGGGATTCAACTGACGCTATGGGAGGTGTGAAGGAGGGAATTAAGAATTGTGCAGGGAAACTGGCAAAATGGAATAAATTAACTTTTGGGCATGTGCAAAAGCAGCTTGCTGCTGCCCATAAAGAACTGGAGGTTTTACAAGGCGAATGGGACAAGTTCAAGTGTTACTAAGGAAAAAATTAGAAAGGACCATTATTGTCTTACTCGAGAAAGAGGAGGTAATGTTGCAGCAGCATTCCAGGGTTGCTTGGTTAAAGGAAGGGGACAAAAACACCAGGTTTTTTCACGAAAGAGCCAACACAAGGGAACGGAAAAATACAATAAAAGGGTTGTACGACAACGATCATTTTTGGCAAATAGATAAGCAAGTTATTGGTTCGATGTTTCACAATTTTTTCAATGATTTATTTTCTACTTCAGGTGGCAGGGATATAGAGAGAGTCTTATAAGTGATTGAGCCAAAGGTGACACATCAAATGAATTACCAATTACTCTAACCTTTTACTAGAGCAGATGTGAAGACTGCTTTATTCCACATGTATCCTACGAAGGCACCGGGGCTTGATGGAATGCCGGCTCTTTTTTATCAACGTTACTGGCACATTGTAGGGGACGAGGTATCGCACAAGTGCTTGTAGATATTGAATGGAGAAAGTTGTGTCCAAGAATTTAATCATACTCTAATCTCCTTAATTCCTAAGGTGCAGACATCTTCCAGAGTGACTGAATTTCGACCAATAAGTCTGTGTACAGTGATTTACAAAATTATTGCAAAGGCTTTTGCAAATAGACTCAAGTGCTTATTGCCTTCCGTTATCTCCGAGTCGCAAAGTTCTTTTGTACCACAACGTCAAATTCTTGATAATGTGATGGCAGCTTTTGAGACAATGCATTTTATGAAAGGCTTGAAGATGGGACAACAAACGAAGATGGCTATTAAACTTGATATGGCTAAGGCCTATGATTGAGTAGAGTGGTCCTTTTTGCAAGAAATAATGTTGAGATTGGGATTTGCTTCAGAGTGGGTCAAACGGATAATGGATTGCTTAACAACAGTTACCTTTTCGGTGCTTTGGAAAGGTAATCCATTCGGGCATGTTGTTCCTCAGAGAGGGTTAAGACAAGGGTGTCCTCTTTCACCATACTTATTTTTAATGTGTGTTGAAGGCTTTTCAAGGCTGTTGCAGAATGCTGAAAGGATAGGGAGTTTGCGTGGGATTCGAATTGCTCATGGAGCTCCATCAGTCAATCATTTATTTTTTGCCGACGATAGTATTCTCTTTCTTGATGCAACTACAGAATCATGTGAAACAGTGAAGAATATATTTCAAGTGTATGAGGAAACTTCTGGGCAAAAGATCAATCTCACAAAGTCGGCTTTCAGTTTGAGCCCAAATGCTACTGTTGTTGAAAAACAAATAGTTTTGGATTTACTGGAAATTCCGTTGGTGTCTTGCCATGAAAAATATTTAGGTTCGCCTATGGTGACAGGTAAAGGAAGAAAGCAGATTTTCGGGACTGTCAAAGATCGAATCGGAAAACGAATTAGTGGGTGGAAGGAAAAGCTCCTATCTAGAGCTGGTAAAGAGGTCCTAATTAAAGCTGTGTTACAGGCTATGCCCACCTACTTGATGAGCTGCTTTTGGATGCCTAAGGGGATGTGTAAGGAACTCCATGGCTTAATGGCTAAATTCTGGTGGTTTAAAAGTAAGAATATGCGGGGTATTTATTGGACTAAATGGGAGACAATATGTGTGAGCAAGCAGATTGGAGGATTGGGATTTAGAGACCTTGAGGCTTTTAATCAAGCTCTGGCAAAACAAAGTTGGAGATTATTCTTTAATTGCAATTCCTTGGCAGCGAGAATTTTCAAGGCCCGATATTTTCCGCATTGTAATTTTTTAGAAGCTGGATTGGGGTATCGACCCTCACGTATTTGGAGTTCGTTGATATGGGGGAAGGATTTGTTGAAGGCGGGTTTGCGGTGGAGAGTTGGAAATGGTGAAGATATATATGTTTATCAGGATCGGTGGGTGCCTTTACCAATGAATTTCAAGATTATCTCAACGCCACAATTTGATGTTTCTATGAAAGTATGTGAGTTGTTTAATGCTGCTGGACAATGGGATGAAGAACAATTAAAAGCTAATTTTTGGGAACAGGAAGTGAAGGCTATCCTCCAAATTCCACTGGCTTCAAATCATAGAGAGGATAAATTAATTTGGCATTATGATCAAAGCGGCAAATACTCAGTCAGGAGTGGTTATATGGTTGCATGCATGAAGAAGCAAAGGGAAAATGGCATGGAAGGGTCCTCGACACAAGATGGTACATTTTTATGGAAAAAACTGTGGAGTTTGCAGGTGCCTAATAAATCAAATTCTTTCTATAGAGATGTATATGGGGGTTTTTGCCTAGCAGAAAAAATTTGTACCATAAGAAGATCTTGAATTCTCCAATATGTCCACGTTGTGGGAAGAAAGTGGAGTCAGTTATTCATGCAATATAGGCTTGTAGTGAAGTGAAACCAATATGGTCTTTATCACCTTGGAGTGCCAATCACCATGAGTGGAGAATTACATCTTTCAAGGAACTTTGGCAAGCTGTGATTGTGGTCTCAAGTAAACAGGAGGTGGATCTTTTTGCTTTTCTATGCTGGGATATTTGGAATGACAGAAACAATCTGTTGTTTCAAGGACGAAGTCTTGAGAGTGTATCAGTGTTTAACAAAGCTTTGGCTTATCACACGGAGTTTTACTCTGTAACTCTTGCCCCTATATGCTCCCATAATAGGCAAGGGCCTAGTCAGAGTTCACAGAGTTCTGTTAATTGGCATGCCCCATTGGATGGTTAGTACAAAATTATGTTGATCGGGCAGCCAAACTTGCTGGGTTAGTACGGGGAGTTGGAGTAGTGATTCGCAATGGAAATAAAGAGTTTATGGCTGCTTTTTGAGGGTGTGTGCGTGTAAACTCATGTACAATAAAGCTAGAGAAAGCAGCGGGAAAGAAGATAGAAGATGAAAGAAAAGGTTTGCCCATTAAACAAAAAAAGAAAGAGAGGGGAGAGAGAATATAATAAATAATGAATAGTCTTAAAAGTTGGGCTACTATGTTATCCCCAATGTTTAATTATTTTTAAATTTGAACGATGTGTGAAAGAAAAGGATTGCCCATTAAACAAATACAATTCTAAAGTTTGAAACTTACTTAATTCGATAATTTAAATGGTGTGTTAAAAAGTGTGGTTCTACGTGTGTCCCCTAATATATTTCAACATTTACAATATATTAGTCTAAAAAAATAGATGGTTTAAATGATCTTTGAATTATTCTACAAAATAGATGGTTTGGATTAGTGAAATACAATGCGGAGTGGGCCCTACAGGGGTGTTGGATCCCTCAATAGAAGCTCTTGGTAAACTTATTTAAGGGATCCCTCTATGAGCCCCTGGAAAATTTATATTCTTAGTTGGAGCGATCTGCGTGAAAAATAAAATTTTTGGACTCAAATTGGTGAAGATTGGAATTTATGGAAATTAAATTGGAATTTTTGGACTTTATTTGAATTTATATTGAGTGTTGGACAATTTTCCAGAAAATATTTTGAAGGATGTTGGAGAAGTGAAGGTACAAAAAATAGTAGAGGTGGAGACGAGGCCGTTGGAATTTTCAAGGAATTGGTCGGAGCTCGAAGTTATTTATGATGGATTTTAGAAGTTTTGAAAATAAGAAAATTGGAAAAGAAAAATTAGTTCAGCTGGACAGGTGGCGTGATCTGGAGTGTCGATGGCATGCTGATATAGCTGATCAGACGGACAAGAGATGCTAACAGGATACTGACGTGTTCTGATAGGTGCTGACATTTCGTTACGCTGTTGGAGGTAGACCCTGATTGTGCGTTGCGTGGCACAATGTTAATTACCCACATAAGAAGCCGACTAGTTTGAGGATCCGCGTGTTTGTCAAACGGGTCGGGCTGGCTTAGTTTGTTTTCAGTTGTTTATTTGACGTCGTCAAACAATCTGGACCGTCCCTCCCGTACGACATGTCGTGTGCCTCTGCAGCCAATTCTTCATCGTTTTTCTCCAGTTTTTTACGCAATACGGACCCTCAAATCAGATTTTTGGTTGAGATCCAATGGCCCTGGTTGCACCCTCCCATCTCCTCAAATTTCCTTTGGGAGTCGATTTCCTCCCTTGGAGCTTCTCATTCCATCCTTGGTAAGTTTCTCCTTTTGAGTTGTTTATTTTTTAGCTTTCCTAAATTTCCTGAAATGCGATTAGTAGTTGCCACATAACCCGACCTAGGGTTTTCACATTAAGTTTCTAACAACGACGTAGGGTTCCAAACTAGGGTTTGTACTTCGACTTAGGGTTCGTAAAATGTGACTCGACCTAACCCTAGCATGTTAAGAGCTTATTTTCGACTCGGCAAGTAAGGTCTGTGGGAACAGGCATCAGCATTGGACTCCAGGTAGGGAGATCACTAAACCAGGCTTGTATTTTACTATCCGAGTACTGTTCTTTAGCTCATGCCTGCGCCGAAACCGTCTGGGTTAGTTGTCTTCTCCATGAGCTTGGCTGCCCAGTTACATTTCCTACTCTCATCTACTGTGACAAAATCAATACCACCTATCTAACTACGAATCCAGTTCGTCAGACTCACACACAGCATATTTAATTGGATTACCATTTTGTTCCTAAGAAGTTTCCCTTGGCAGTCACCATGCTCAATTTGTTCCTTCCACTGATCAGTTGCTGACCTTCTCACAAAAAGTCTTCACAAAAGTCGTCATCTCCAACTCTCTGAAAAATTCGTCTATCAAGGTCCGCCATCTAGTTTCAGGGGAATATCACGCAATCAACTCATGGCCGTTAGGCCCTTCTTCCATTATAGGAATCCTCTGCATTCCAGGAATCCTCCTTCCATATTTGTATACGTGTTAATATTGATTTACCTTCCTTGTATTGTTGATTCAGTTTCCTTGTATATCTCTACTAGGGTTTTCAACTATGTATAAATCTCTCATGTATCACACTTATCAAATCAATCCAAAATACAAAATTTACATATATATATATATATATCTCTCTCTCTTTCTCTCTCTCTCTCTCTCTCTCTCTCCCTCTCAAATCATCTTATGCGCCGCAGCCCACTAACCCTCCACTACACCCTAATCTCTCCACCGTCAAATCGATCTCAACCTTTATAACGAAGAGGACGTGGATGTAAATTTCAAACCACCACCAAAACCCAAAACCCAGAAGAGGAAGGAGAAGAAATTTGAGCTCTTTGAAGAAGCAAAGAAAAAAATCAATTTTTAATTTATCAGTGAAGTATGTGCCTAATAAGTGATTTTTTAAACAGAGATTTGGATGAAAATTGCCAAAAACTAATGGTGGGGAGAAAATTGGCCAGAAAATTTAGTATGACGGCTAACCCTCCACTACACCCTAAACTGGCAGGAAAACAAGTTCAGGGTGGAGATTTCGACAAGCGTGATAGTTTATAGTGTTTTACAGCAGATAACCCTTTTTTAGTACAAGTGATTGTCGAAACTTAAATTAGAAGGGGGTTTCTCACACACACACCACCAAGATGTTAGGGGAGTTTGAACCCAGACAGAAATTGATAGGCTTTTTTACTTTTTATTTACTATACCCAATTGATAGGCTTTTTTATTTTTTTATTTTTTGGCAATTCACTTGGCTAGACCTGTTTGGCAATCAGGGGTGGCCCTGAGGGTGTGCAAGTGGTGCCACCGCACAGGGCCCCTGATTTTTGAAGGGCCTCGATTTTTTTTATGTGTATAATATATGTTTAACAAATGTTATATATATACTGAGTGAGCAATTGTTGACACAAAGACGTTCCTAGTTGTGTTGGTTTGCAGGGCCTCAACTTTTATTTAGGGCGCGACTTCAAAACCCGCTTGTGTTAAAAGGCTTGTCCGATTTCAACACCAACATCCAATATCCCAGCTACTTTCACAACTACAAACTGAAATAATAAATACTCTAAACCCTATGCTCAGATATTCAATTTTGCAAAAAATAATGCATCCAACTAACTCAACCAAAATAATTGCATCGAATTAATGATGTTCCTAGAATATTTATGCATCCAACTAACTCAACCAAAATAATTGCATCGAATTAATGATGATATTGATACAAAATAAGTTAGGTGTTAAAAAATATTTAATATAAGGCATATCGAAGAGACGGAAAGAAGAGGGAGGAGGAAAGATAAAGAAAAGAATAGAGAGAAAAAATGTCTTAAGAGCATCCATAATGGGCTCCCTAAATCACCTCCTTAAACAAATTTTAGGGAGGAATTGTAAAAATACAACTCCAACCATACTCCCTATCCACCTCATAAAATATGGAAACCTCTAGAAGCTCCTAAATTTGAGGAGAGAGAAATGACTCCTAGTGGCTTCCTATAATTTAATACTGCTTTATTTAATGTGTATTTCAAACCTTTATTTAATGCTAAACATTTTTTATTTTATTTTTTAATAGAGATGGACCAATCAAAAAAGAATTATAGCATTTATGACTCATAAACTAGAGAGCACGATTGAAGTTTAAATTTTATAGAGAGCTCCTAAAATAACTTTGATATATTTTTAGCTAAAATTAACTAAAAAATAGAGAGCATAATAGTGGAGTTAGCTTCAGAGGGTCTAAGTGAAATTCTCCGTTCCTATTGGTCAACGATATCACCGGAGTTCATCAAACTTTATTGGTCAATTCATAATGTGGTCGGACAAGAGTTAGTATGAATGAGTTGTAACTGGTCCCATTAGACGCGTTTTTGGGTTTACCATCAGTGTGCTGGTGGCAGTAGCCAGTAGGGGCCTATACCAATTAAAAGACTCTTCTGATAAAAAAAGACTCATAATGAGCGGGTGTATACAGTGTATATATATATATATATATATATATCCTCACCCATTGCTTTAACAAGTGGTTCTTCACTCAATTGGGTATAGTAATTAAAACAGAAATTGCAAAGCCTCTCCTAAGTAAGCCCTTGGTAAGAATGGCCGTCTCCGCAGATGCAGCTGTTGTGGAACTTCTTGATAGCAGTAACTATGTGGATTGGAGTGTATGGGTTAAAACTTACTTGCTGGCTCAAGACCTTTGGGATGTAGTGGAACAAGACGAAGAAGAAGAAGAAGAAGAATCTGATGATAATTTCAAAGCTTGGAGGGAGAAGAATGCCACGGCTTTACATACAATCCAAATTTCGTGCGGGCGGGAAGCTTCTTCCCTCATTAGAAACACCAGTTCAGCCAAACGCGCTTGGGATACTTTGGCAGAAAACTTCAAGCCAAAACCATTTCTTCCAAGTAAGTCACCAGTTCAAATCTTGAACCTCATCAAACAACCCCCCGGGTGTACTTGGTTCTCTTTCTGTGAGAAGTAAATATTCTACTTAAATAAGGTTATTTGAGGGACACCTTTTATAGGGACCACTTCGCATTAAATTTCACTCATCTAAACTGCCTATTTTGTAAATATTCATTTAATATCATTTAACCATTCAAATTATTGAAATTTAAGTACTTTTTTTAAGTATCATGTTCATTGATTTTGTCGGTCTTAATTAGATGCCTTAATGATTTTCAATTTCTCTGATTTTTTCGAGGATGATCTAAGAATGAAGACTTGAAAAATTAACAGTTTGAATTGTTGAAAAAAAAATCATAGGGTGTCGCACAAATAAAATATATATTATATACCAAGACCACAATTTCTGCTGCTTATATTAAGGACTCCTAATCATTTTACTTTTATTTCTTTTACATTTTGGTCTCCCTGTATTACTGTATGTGAAAAGAAATTTATATCCTTATGCAAATTATATGTGCAACAATGTGGAAATTAAATCTAACGGTGTCAATTTTCCCCTTTGGCTTTATTTATTTATTTTTAAATAGTCAATTTCCTCCATGAATCATAAAACTACCCACAATCATATTCCTAGCAATTCCATTCAAGATGTCTGTAAATAGTGGTCCTCAAAGTCATTAAAAAAAAACACAAAAAATAAGTGGATTATGCTATATGAAATAATTAATTAATTAACACAAACTTGGTGCAGGAAATGGCAAGAGTCTGTATAAGCCGTTGTTCGATGCTGTATCGCGTGGGGATTGGAATGAAGCAAAGGAATTTCTTACCCTACATCCAGATGCAATAAGAGCAAGACATCCGTACTCAAACAAGACAGCTCTTCACATGGCAACAGAACTAGAGCACGAGCATATTGTGGAAGAGTTGGTGCAGTTGATGTCCGAGGAAGACTTGGAAATAACAGAAAATCAAAGTAGTTTTACAGCTCTTGCTCTTGCTGCACGAAGAGGAAATATCAAAATGGTTGAATGCATGGTTGGAAAAAGCAAGAAAATACTTAGTATTACCACTAACCAGAATTTGACTCCAATTCTCTTGGCTTCTAACAATGACCAATGGGACGTCGTTCATTATCTTTACTCCGTCACTCCCATCGAGGATCTAATGCCAGAAAAAGGCCCATACGGCGCGGCACTTATTTACTACTTTATAACTGGAAGGAAATTTGGTAAAAATTTTAATCTTATAACAACTAATTTGATAACTCGTTTTTTTCCTTATAATAAAATTTCTTTTTCTCTACTACAGGTATGGCTCGGGAATTAATTCGGTGTTGCCGACAATTGGTCCTTACTAAAGACCACTATGGGGCATTTCCGATAGAAGCATTTAGGCCTTCTGCATTTCCGAGTGGAACACGCCTCAAATTCTGGCAACAATGGATCTATGATAGTTAGTGTCCACATTTTCTTTTCCTCTTACAATTACAATTTAGAATGTGATGTGATACTCTGATACTATTGTTGGTTTATGTGTTTAGGAAAATTGGAACAATAGTACAACGCCTTAGGTACATAGAATTAGGCTAATTGGCCTCCTAGTGATGTAGCTATTGGCTACTTCACCTAGTTGATAACTCTAGGCTAATGGCCCTTCACTTAGGCCCCGTTTGTGATTGCTTTTTTTGGCAAAAAACCTGCTTCACTTTACAGTTAAGCAGTTTAAGGTGTTTGGTAAAAATAAAATATCTCGATTATTTTAAAAGCAGTGGCCTTTTGACAACAACTTTTAAAAGTAGGCTCTGCGTTGCTTTTCAAAGGTGCTTTCAAAAAAGCAGAGATGAACCTTTAATGAATTTTTTTTAATTCCCAAAATACCATCATTCATTTTAAAAAATGGCACCTCCACTTCCACATCCAACTCCACCACTACATTCACCGCCTCCACTACCACATCCTCCGCCACGGCCACCACCTCTCTACCACCACCTCCTCCAAAACCTCCACATCCACCACCACCTCCACAACCACCACCACTGCCACCACCACACTACCATCACCACCACCACCACTACCACAACCACCAACTCCACCTTCATTCCCACTACCACCTTCACCTCCATCTATTTCACCACCACCTCCACTCTATCACCACCATTACTACAACATGATTAGTATATAACACTTTCAACATCATGTCTATTATCATTATTCACAGTTACAACAATTTTATATTAAAATTTACCAAATGGTTTTGACACTACTTTTTGTACTAACAGCACTTTAAAAATATTGTTTCTCAAACATGGAGTTCCTTTACTTTACAGCTAATTATTTTCAAATCAAAACATAAACAACTTTTTTTTTAAAGTGACAGCAATTCCAAACTGGCCTTAGATTGATGAGTGTTTGGACATGTGAGTGGAAATAGCAGCACTCTTTAAAAATAATAAAGCTTAACAGAGTTAAAGTTCAGTTAAGTGTTTGGACAAATGTCAAAATACTATACAGGGTACATGAAATTTGGGGACATCAGATCTCAACCCCATGAGGGGACATGCATATAGAACATATATATGCAAATTTATTATGACAAGAGATATCCATAATTGTAATATAAATAGTTATTCGAAATATATTGATTGAGGTTAATTACTGTAATTTTTTCGAAAGGTATACACATAGATTGCACCATCAATGATATTCGTGTAAGTGTTCAAAATGAAGGAAATGAAGAACATAATCGAACAAAGATCGCTTGGTCAGGTATGTTACGACTTAAATGTAAGACGGGTTTTATTTGGCAAAATGGAAATCATTTTTTCATATGTTATCAAACTGTTCTTATAGTTTCTAATACTACACCCAATTTGTTTGTTTTCTTGCATTAAGTATAGTGAAGAATAGGTAATGTTCATGAACAAATAAGAATTTATCATTGCATAGGTTTGAAGACAATCGAAGGAAACCAATCTACACTGATATGGTATGAACCTACATGAACTGTGTCATGTTAATGCAAGTACAAAAAAACATGACAAAAGAGACCAACTGTCCAAAAAGTCAATATTTGGCTTCTGTGGGCCCTGCACCTCAACCGACTCCCAGGAAAATCCTACTCTGACCCACAGCCTCATTTTAGGTGGTTCTGGATGCCACATCTAGTGGGCTATTTTATACAGCCCACTATTAACATCTAAGGACCTCACTATCGGCCAGACTATAATGAGGGGTAAGTTATAAGGGGTAAGTTATAAGGGGTTCACTTTATAGTCATTGGATCAATCGAAGGGCTGGGGAGAATTGGGATAAAGTTGTGCAATCGGGTAGGTGAGGAACCCAAACCCGAATTTAATATCCAGCAATGAAGTTGGTCCCAACAAAAAAAAAAAGAGAGGCAAGTTCGAAGTTTGAACAGAAAAAACCCATTGATCTCAAACTCATAGCTGAGAGAAACTGCTAAGCTCTGAGAAACGGTTGAAGGCAACGGGCAACGACGGTTGAAGGCAACGGGCAACGACGGTTGAAGGCAAAGGTTAACGACGGTTGAACGCAACTCCACTATCTAAACCGTGAAAAAGTATTTATTTTGAGTGGAAGGAGCAAAGGCGTGGATTCTGAAACAGTGAAGACGAAGCAGTGGAAGGGGAAGGAGAGAAGCCGTATTCGTTGGAAGTGATAGGTTCCATTTGTGGAGCAAAGCCACACAAAGACCCAACACAGACACCTTGCGATTGTTCAATAACCAGCATTTGGTGAGTAATTTATGGAATTTGAGTTTAGGGTTAGAGTAACCGTTTTCCCCAATTTGTAGCATGAATGTTGTTAGATTTGGCATCTCTTCTTTGTGCTTCACTTGCATGTTAATTTTTGCTTGGGTATATGTTAAAAAACGAATGAATATAAAGTCAATAACATGTCAATAACATGTCAATAATGATATGAATAAGGTAATGGTGTTGAATTGGAGGAGGCCCTCAAAACCTTCCACATTTGAAGCAGTGCAGAGTGCAGATTATCTCTCTGGAGCTAGAATATATATAATTTTTGAAATAAATATTATTTCCGTTGTTACTAAATTTGCCTGTTAAAAATGAGAACAGATAATAATAAACTCATGAATAAAAGTGCAAAGCATTTGAAAAAAGGTTGATCTATGACGATTATGGCTGACTGAAGAAAAAGCTAGAAAGAAAGAAGGATGTGGCAATGGCTTAGCGAGCAGATAGCAGAGCAGATGCTTTGCTTTGCTTCCTTCCACCATCTTTCTCATTTATTTATTTATTTATTTTGTGTTGTGTATGAAATGACAATAATTGTCATGTGTGTGAAGTGCAGAACTTGCCTAGATTGCACTCACACTCACTCATGCATCAACCATTGATTGGAGTTTGGATCCATAAATAAAACACATGCTAGTGCTTGTAATTCACAGAATCATTGCATTAACAGGTATTTGCACAAAATATGTCATATTGCTTTGATGATGTTAAAGCCTGTGATCAGTAATCCCTATGCGCATGTACTTTGTAAAATTTGTAATGTGCTGGTTGACTAGTTGTGTAAATACCAATGTGATTGTGCAAATACGTGGTAGTATATGTGTTCACGTTATTTCATCTTGTATTTCAGGAAATGGGATCCAACGTTGAGCTGGTATGGCCAGAGTCAGAGGCATATTCCTCACGGGTGAACAACTGCTCACATGCAAATTCATCCCTAGCTGTAATTCGAGCGAAGTTGAGTGCCGAACAATTAGAACAATTCAAGACATCATGCTTTGGCCATCTTCTGAATATAGATAAGATTCAGTTTAGCGGGCAGATTGTGCATGGGGTTGTGTTGCGTAGAGTAGCGGGGCAGGGTGTGAAAGACTTGGATGGACTGAGTTTCTTAATAGGGTGCGACGTTGCTCAGTTCACTCGTCAGGATTTCTGTTTGATCTCAGGGCTTCGTTTTGGGGAAGTGCCTGAAGTTTCCAGTGGAGAAAGTGATGAAATTAGACTTCAGAAAAGATATTTTATAGACGAAGGAATTACATGTAATGCTTTAGAAGAAGCATTTGTGAGGTGCACAGAGGAAGATGACGTCTACAAGCTAGCTCTTGTTTACTTTGCTGAGTTAGTGGTTTTGGGAAGGGACAAACATTTGAACATCAATCTAAATTACCTGACCCTTGTAGAGGACTTGGATGCGTTCAACAGGTTTCCATGGGGTTCGGTGTCGTTTGACAAAACCCAAGACAGTCTGTTTTCTGCACCAACAAAGTATGTGAAAAGCTTTGAAAATGAAGAGGGAAGAGGGAAGGGGAAATGTAAGGTAACCGGAACAAGCCGGAGAAATGAGAAGGGCAAGAAGGATAACCATGGTGAAGTGCAAAGGGGTGGCTGGAGTTTTAAAGGTTTCACGTATGCTTTCCAGGTACATGGTAATAATGTTCATGTCGTTATGTTCTGTTGACTTTAAAACTTAAATAATAACTTGTGTCCTGTGAATTGTGTAGATTTGGGTATATGAATTAATTCCTAGAATGGTGGACCTGAATTACTGCAAGGTTGTTGATCCGACAGCTCTCCCGCGTATTTTGCGATGGAGAACTACTACGTCTGTTCCCGAGATGAGAAAGTTGAACAATTATTTTTTCCAGAGCAAAGAGGTTTGGTTTGCAGCCCTTGGAACTATTTATAAGATTCAATGAAATTATGAAGTAGAATGATTGCATATGACTCTTGTCTGTTTTCTGAAACAGTCAGTTCAGTTGCGGGCGCTATGTCCAAGTGAAGAGGAAATGAGACAACCATATTGGAGTTGGCCACAGGGTCGCCCTGCTGTTGTCTCGGCAGAGTCAATTCCTTCTTCATGTGCTGACCTTGATGAGTTGAACAAGGCGGTAAGCTTGTTGAGGTCCGAGTTGTTTCAAGTAAAGCGGGAAAAGGACGTCCTTGAGTTAAAGGTCATACGGATGGAAAAAAATTTGGGCCACTGTTTAGGTCCTCATTTTGAGCAGGAAGTGAGAAGGGACATAGCTTTACTGAAAGAGAGGACGAATCGTTGTGTCGTGTCACATCTATTTAAGGGATATGAGGAAGTGGATGGCATGCAATGGGATGAAGGGCCAAGTAATAGAAATGAAGGAGAGGCAAATGAAGAGGAGGACATTGAAGGGGGTGAAGGGCCAAATAACAGAAATGAGGGAGAGGACAAGGAAGAGGAGGGGATTGAAAGGGGTGAAGGGGCAAGTAAGACAAATGAGGGAGAGGAAAAGGAAGAGGAGGGGATTGAAGGGGGTGAAGTGCCAAGTAAGAGAAATGAGGGAGAGGAAAAGGAAGAGAAGGGGATTGAAGGAGGCCAAGTGCAAAGAAAACCAAGGGAGGTAGAGGAAGCTCAAAGGAAAAGAAGTGAGGGAGAGCAAGTGAAAATAAAAAGCAGCAAAGGAGAGGAAGCGCAAAGAAAGAGCATTGAGGGAGAGGAAGAACTGCAAAGAAAAAGCAGTGAGGGAGAGGATCCAAAAAAAAAAAAAAGGGCAAGGAAGTGAAAAGACAGAGAAGTGAGGAAAAGGAAGTGCAAAGAAACCAATGTGAGGAAGAGGATGATGAAGTTATGTTGGTTGGCGATGACATTGGCGAGAGCACGGAGGGGACAAAGGTTGAGGTTACTGTCGGGGACATTGATTTGGATCAACCTAGAGCTGTGTTATCTCAGTTGAACGTTTGGTTGAATGATGAAGGTCAAGGTGTGGAACGAGGGGTCCAATTACGGAAGAGGAAGAGGATTATTCCTATGTGGAAGATCGTTGAAGCTAGTGAAGTGGTTAAAAAAAATTTGCCAAAGACAACCGGACTTCGGACGTTAGACCCAATGAAGGCGATTCCGCATGATGATATGGTGAAATTGCTGAAACTTTGTTCGGAATGGCGCCATAACCCAAAGTAAGTCCTTTGTTTTTTGAGATAGAAGGCATGAGTGTATATATTTTGTAATTGTTGTGTTCTAAAACTTTTTTATATTCATAGTTTGGTGATGCAATTTGGCAACGTGGAAGCTGAGATTGAATTCTTCGCTTCCCTCGTCAAAGCTGACGGCTGGCTGAAAGGAGATGTAAGTTTAATTGATTATGCATTTGTTTGAATGTGCATAGATAATGAGATTGACAAGGAAAACATGTGCAGCACATTGATTTGGGCTTGTATCTCATCCGGAAGCGACAACAACAGTTGGAGGAAGTAGAAATATCGGATTGGACAACGACCGATGTATTTTTTATGGTATGTGATGCAGGATGCATAGGACCTAAATTGTTTAGTTTCCTAATTTATTGGTTAGTTTCCTATATTCTTTAGTTTTCCAAATCCTAGTAGGATTTCTAAGTTAGTTTTCCAAATCCTATTAGGATTTCTAAGTTTCCTATTTTATTAGGAATAGGATTTCTGTTTTACCTGGGGATTTTAATTCTATTCTCTCTAGGTTTTAGTTTGCTATAAATACCCCTGTGTAGTTCTTTACAATTCAGATTTGAATATTGATTAAACATTCCTTTAAACTCTCTGATTTCTGCCTGCCTTCTACCTTTTCTTCCCTTCAGCTTTTCTTATCTGTTATGTCTTATTGCTCTAAGTGTTTAAACTAACACACCCAGGGCTGTGCTACATCAGTATGGCATAGGCCTTGACCAAGTGCAGTTAATAATTACAAATTATCCATACTTGCTTTGTGGAGTTGTTTAACCATTGATTGTTTTCTATTTCACAGAATCACATCCATACTTGCTTTGCGGATAATAAAAGGAAAAAAGAGCAAGTTGGGTGGAAAATTAGAACCAGTTTAGTGAACGTTGTAAATGGCAAGGTTCCGGCTTGTGGATTGGATTGGCAGAACACGTATAAGGTGTATGTACCTTGTATGTTGCAAAAATATAAGCATTGGGTGGCTCTAGAGATTGATCTGATTCAGTGTGAAATCAAAGTCTACGATTCAATGGTTTCACTCATTCCAGATCAGAGCTTAAAGGAAGAACTCGGCCCCCTGTCAATTACGATTCCAAATCTTCTGCACACCCTCGACTTTTATGAAGAAGGTGTTTACGCGAACGAGTGCACCCGAGATTGGTGGTGTCCATGGCCAATACATCGTGTGGATGTTCCACAACAGGCTAATCAGTGAGCACAACTTTTTATTTAATTTTATTACTTTAATTTGTCAATTATGTTAGAATGTCATTAGTTGAATTGATCGAGTTCTTGTTTTGCTTCAGAGGCGATTGTGGTATGTTCGTGTTGAAGTACATTGAGCTGTTGAGTGCTGAGATTTCCTTAGCTACTTGCACCTCGCAGAACATGCCATTTTTTCGGTTGAAGTTGGCTGCAGAAATTGCACGGGGAGATGCTTACATGCCATGATATCGGTTGAACTTGGTTTAGGCACATGATGATGAAATAGGTTTTGGGAATGTCAAATTTCAAAGTCATGTAAATACACAATAGAGACCCATGGGTCCTTTTCGAATTCCACCTCTGCTCCTGAATTCTTCTTCGTCTTTCTCAATCTTAGTGTATTTGTGTACAGAAATTTAGATTTAAGTTACTGGACAATAACAATTAGAACCAAAATAGTGGCAAATATTATAGCGGATGCATGCTTTCATTTTGATTAGTGTGATATTACGCTATGTGTATTCTCATATTGTGCAAAATGTATATGGAGCTGGTTGCAGAGCATAGAAAAATGAAGACTCTGAAATGGAGATGCTGAGGGTTGGAGAGGAGAAAAGTAACTGGATCTGTAAATCTATTGCACGTGGGCAATCTAAATGGATAGGCAGATGCGTTTTTGAAGTTAGACACATGCCATTCCCATACATAGAATGTGCATATGGAGTGTAAAGTTTTTTTTGATGTAATGAAACAAACATCGGTGTAATATTGGCCTAACTCCTTCACGACATTTACCTAACCTCAACCAAACTGCATTGAATTGGGATTTGAAGACTGCATATGTGAATTTGGATTTGAAGAATGCATATTCACATACGGACTGATGGCTTTTTAAGTGTATTACATCATTGCAAAGTGATATGTCATCATTTATCCAAGCCACCATTCCAAATATCAGATCCCAATCTTTAAGCCGTTCAACATGCCTTGACTTAATCGCAATGGGTTGCATCTTAAGGTAATTCTGTAAGGGGAATAGGCTGCTATGGCCTCGCCTCCAATATTTTATTCAACCATGCCCTCCTTATAGAAACACATGAAAAAATGTCCCCAGGTGCAATGCTCTAAAAACTCCCTATTGGTTCCGCACTGCCCCTCGGGTTTGAATCCCTCTCTCCTTTATAATCGGTTAATAAATTGGTTGATTTTCTTTATTTTATTGGTTTTGGGCAGCTGAGTAACATAACAGTAATGTATATTGGTGCGTCTATATTGCATGTCTGTTGGGTCTATATTGCTTGTCTATTGCGTGCATATCTTTACATTTTTTGCGTCTGTATTGATTTGTATTGCTTACGACGGAAATAAATAACAATACACAGGCAACAGACAAGCAATATACACGCAATAGATATGAAATATACACGCAATAGACATGCAATATACATCAGTCCCCAATTACATCAACCATAAGGAAGTCGTATTGAATAGGAAATTCTACTTAAGTTGTTCTTCCTACGAAAACAAAGAATAAGGACCGTTTCCCCCCTTAAATCTAACTGGAGTCCTACTTTTGCCCCCAATAAACTTGCAATATTGGAGCAATAACATGCGATATACATGCAGTAAACACTCAATCAACTTTCAATAAACCTTCAATATCGGTTCAATAACATGTGAAATACATGCAGTTAACAATCATGAAACCTTCACGAAACATGTAAACAATCAATAAACCTTCAATAAACACTCAATATCGGAGTAATAACATGCGAAATACATGCAGTTAATGAACCTTCAATAAACAGTCAATATCATGCGATTTACATGCAGTAAACAATCAATAAACAATCTATATACACTGAATAATTATGCAATCTTAAAAAAAAGGTATTGTCTTATTATTGCATCGTATTGGCCCTGTATTGTCATTTTATCGTCTTCGTCTGACTTTATTTTTGTAAAGTAACTGTAGGAAAGTTTTTACTGGGTTTCTGACAAGTAAATGCTTTTGTTTCAAACAATAATTTAAACTCAATGCTAATCCACCTATTTCAATAACAAAAATTACAAATTGAGTTTGAAAAGTCATTGGTGGTGCGTGCAACATGTGTTTTTGGGGAGAACTTTTACAATCCTTGAAACCGTGCACTTAATTGGTCATTAAAAGAACAAATAATATGACAATTGATACAACTAATAAAACTAATACCAAGTCCTTAATGGACTTCAGCATATTAAGCACTGTAGCATCATACGTGTCAGCTTGCTGATCTGCTTCAGCGGAGGTTACATCAACCCATTCGAATCCATTGCAGCTGGTGGCTCCCTAATTGCAGGCATCATATATGCAAAATAATTTTGTCAGAGTTAGACCTAGGATTTTTTTTCACCCACATACATATTCTGGAAATGAGAACTTACATAGGAGGTTAGACACTTCCAAAATGCCTTCCCGCGATTTTTATCTGATTTTGAAACCCGAAGCACCATTGCCGCTCCACAATACTGACACCTCTTTGTTTGAGCGGGAGATGAAGACGAAGACATGTTGAATCTTATCACTTGTACCTCTTCTCACTCAGATCTTCTCACTAAAACCTCTTCGGACTCATACCTTCTGAGTTATACCCCTTCACTCATAAGTCATAACCCTAAACTTCTCACTCAGCTCTCTCTCATCTCTGCCCAAATCGAATTATATCCTTCTTTTCTGTGTGTGGGTGGGTTGGTCACGATCTGGACACCTGTACCGTCAGAATTGTGACACATTTTACTCCGATAAGCGATATACTATTTCACAAACAATAATTAATCTTACAATTGAGGGGACACTGCTTTAAATATATTATTTTCTTTATATTGCATTAAGGCAACTAGTTGGATAAGAATCCGTCATTTAATAGGGGTAGTGTGGTGTGGGAAAATGAAAAAGTATCTGATGGGACCTTCTGTCACTAGTCAGTAATCCATCACATTTGTATCAATGAATTTAATGGCGGGAAAAGCCTAACAATGGCTATGGAAATAGGTTATTAATTGACTTTTGGACGGTCTGACTCCCTTTGCATTTTGATGACGTTTTCCCTTCGCCTGTCTTATGTTTTGGGTGTTGAGTTCAGTTTCTTTAAAAAGTGTCAACTTGGTAAAACCCCAAGGAAACACCTTTTCAGAACAGTGCAACCAGAGGCTAAAACAAACCCAAAACCCCGTATATTCTCATTTCTCCCCTCTTGCAGTCCTCAAATCGTTCCATTCCAAAAATATTTCAATGAATTCCAAACATTACACTACAGTCGGAGGAAAGAGAAGGAAGCATCGCGATCCGGATGTGCCTCAAGCCTTCATCCCGGAATTAGCTTGGTTTAAAGTGATGTTATACGTG